GTTGGGGACAATATTTAAAGAACTTTTTGTCAATAAGAGATATGGAATCTAGCAACCTGCCTGACAAAAATTGTTCTTCAGAGATTTCTGCATCAAATGGGAGGCTATACTAGATGATCACATGGGCTGCTGTTAATACACTGTTCATAAATAAAAAATAGAATTTGTGCTCTGTACAATCACTTGCCAATCCTAGAATCACTACAGAAACTATAATGGGTGGACACTAACATTGACATTTTCTTAATTTTTAGGTCTCTAAGTCTCTCACCTTTTGAAAGTGCTACTGTTCTTAGATATAGCCAAAACCTATATTAATAAGCTTAAACATTGAAGCTCAGTGAAGTTACTTGGCATAATGCAACAGCAAGCATAAGAATGCTTGAAATAAATTTCCATAAATATGAACCAAGCCTGTCAATAAATTTAATTGCTGTCTGATTTAATAAAGGGCTAGATAAACATACAACCATGAGAATTATAAATTATGTTTTAATTTTCCTCACCCACTATAATTGTCATATAGCAGGTTACAGTTTATAAATTGTGATTTTTATCTCAGCTAATCTCATTTAACATTGCTTCACAATTAGATAGCTAAAAGGAAGTTGCAGCTTCTAAACACAAAGTCTGGGATCAATTTAATCAGTTCTTTGGTTTTTTTTTTGCTCAAGATTATTTGTATTATGAATTTCATTATTTTAAATGTGATCAATTATAATATATTCATACAGAAACACACAAATAAGCCTGTCTGCTTTTCAAAAGGCTGAAGCAGAATGTCTTATTGTAAATTTAGAGTGGTATTATATTAATAAATGGTCTTTGTTTTATTATGCATGTTCAAGAGATATAGAAGTATTTGGAGGAAATCTTCCTTTATAGTTGAGAAAATTGTGTGTAATGCTCAGTAAGAAACGTCTTTCAAAACAAGGGCTTTTCAGATTACAGGAAATTTTTCTCTTTGACTGATAAAGAGGTTAGTCTGTCACCTTGGAAGAGGATAATAGCCTAGAATTCTGCTATCACCTCCCACCCATGATAGATCAGCTATTTTCCCAGTTCACTTTCCTCTTGGAGTTTCAGAAGATGCACACCTTCTTGTTTGCTCACCTGTTCAGGCATTTGAAAAATGCCTGGGTTTGTTCTGCTACCTATACAGGGAGGTAGGTTTCTTTCCACAGCACCAGAGAATGGTGAAGAGGTAGGATACCTCTACTCACCACAAATTACACTATTCTCTGGATGAAATGAGGTGCAAAGGCAGCAATGAAAAATGACATCTAAAGTAATCTGAAGCATTTTTGCTCATTTCAAACTATACTAATGTTCATTGGAAGGAAAGCTAAGGAAATTTGTTAACTTAAACTTTAAAATTCAGAACAAAAAGAGTTTGTCAGCTAGCATTATATCAACATAACCCCTCCCCTCTTACCCAAATGAAACAATGCCTAAACTCAGGCAAAGAGTGGAATCAATAGTACTAGTAGAGAATTCTAGTTTACATGAGCTGCTTTTGTAGATTAATCTACCCGTTCATCGACCATTTTTAAATATTAAATGAAACAGTAATATTTATTGTCACTGCAGAAAAACATCTTGTAATATAATTTAATTTTTCTGTTGTGCATTCTTCCTAGATGTGTGCCACTACTATTGTGTGAATTCTGAGTCTTGTACCATTGGGGATGATGGAAGTGTTGAATGTGTCTGTCCAACACGCTACGAAGGACCAAAATGTGAGGTTGACAAATGTGTAAGGTGCCATGGGGGACAATGCATTGTAAATAAAGACAGTGAAGATATATTTTGCAAGTAAGTGAAAACCAGTTTAATTTATAAAAGCATTCAAACCCCAAAAGATGTGGCAGTTCAGCAATAAATTGTGAAAATGATGTAAATTATTTTTGTTCTAAAATTCTGTATGGTGACCATTGCATATTTTTATGGCTAGAGATGACGTTTAACTCATTTTAAATTAATCTGACTTACTCAACACCTGTTATAAACATCTGGGAAACTTGAAAATCCATCATACAAGGAGATGGTGAGATTATTCCCTATATAGAATATTCCTAAGTGTAAGTAAGAAATAGTGAATTGCAGTATGCTTTCAAAAAATATGTGTAATATTATTCAGTTAGGAAAGCTCAAGCTTTTAATTGTTTCATCATTATTATTGACAATGAGTGGGTTTGCTTTTCTGTTGCAAATTGATCCTTTGCAGGAGGAGCAAAAAACCTGTCTAATGGAATTAAACATTACTTTTTTTTTTTCCTTAATCTAACTTTGAACATTATGATTCAAAATAAATAGAAGGAATAATGTGTTCTGGGAAGCAATTAAAACAAAAATGTCCAAGTTTGACTTTCATTACATTACCTTTTGCCCTCTGACTTCACGATTAAGTGAATGGAAAATAGAACATGGTGGCTAAAGGGCAATTCCATCCAGTTTCTATCA